CTTCTGCTATTGGCTATTTCAAATTTCCATAGCCAATAGCAGGCTGGCTATTGCACACGCCTACTACCCATTGTTTACATTCACCTGCAAGCTGAGGAATCTAGCAGTCAGCCGCAGCAAGATGTAGACAGAGAATTTTGTTAGCAACTAAATACATTTAGTTGCTAACAAAATTTTTTAGTGTGCACATGACTATCAAGATACTAGCAAAAAAAAAATGGAGGACATATGGCACGATTTTCTTTTTCTGGTTGCTTGAGAGTTCTGGTTGCTTGAATGCCGGATAATGGGGAGTTTACTGTACTAATTTAATAAAAATGCATTGGAAACGCACATCAACATGTGTCCATACTGCATGCCAAAGGACAAAGGAGATGGATGTTGACACGTTAAGCACCTGTCTAACACTACAAAAAAAAGAAGGAGGGAAAAAATGCACCTCTAAGCACATGCTCTAGAGAAAACTGCCAAGAGTTATCCTGCTTTACTAAATAAAGCTAAATGTCTGGGTTACAGAACGATAGAAGCAGCAAAATCTGTCAGACATGGAGAGTGAAGCTTTTGTAAATGCTGAATAACTCCTCCATTTATGATGAAATGACTGGCAAATGCTCCTACTCCTTCACATGAAAAATAATTCTCTGTGACTACAGTATGCTTGGATGCAGAAATATGAAATCACAAAGTAAGAAACAATAAGAAAAATGTCTCTAAATATAAACACCAACTTCAACTTCACTGCCAGTCAGAAGACAACTCGCATACGCAGGCTTTAAAAAACTTGTTACCATATAAATGGCTGTAATATATAAATAAATGTGCTTTGGTGAAAAGATTTCCCTTCTTATTTTACATGAGGAGACAGGAAAGCTTTCACCGAGAAAACGATAGCTCACTCTTCATATTCAGATAATGACTTTCGGTACTTACAGCTTGTACGTGAGCTAGACTTTTCTTTGTAGGCATCATTTAGCCTCACGTATTCATCCAGGGCAAGTGCCAACCTTTGTTCCTTCACATGATAAAGCTCTTTCTGAGTGCTTAGGGCATCTTGTGCCACCATAAGATAGTCCTTCAACATCCGCTCCTGTTCATTTCTCCATAGCGTACGTGGATCTTCTATCTGTGTGGATTCTAAATGAAAAAGTAGATTTGTAAATAATATGCAGCAAACATGAAACAATGAACATAAACACTGTTTTTGAACTGGACAACAATGATTTATTCACAGATTTAAAAACTGTTTAATTTCATTCTCAGTTTCCTTCTTCTATAGCCAAAACGTTTTTTTTCCTTTTTTTTTTGGCTAGAGCAGGAAAGAGTTAAGGACTTTATTACATGCCGTGTCCCTCCTGGGAATAATTACCCTCTCTACCTGTCCTAGTGACCATTATAACTAGTACAGGAAGTGATGGGAAATCCAAAATATTACAACGGTCACCAGAACAAGGGATGGGAGGAAATCTTTCTATGGAGACACCAGCTTTGGAAGCAATTGACTAAGAGAGGCTCACTTAGGAGAGATTCCTCTTCTTCCTGTTGTATGTCTGACAGAGGAAATAAAGAAAGACTGTATCTATGATGGGTCACGGACGGCTAAAAAGAAAGTTATAGAAGATTTAAACATTCCATGAACACAGGACCCCACAGTATTGACATGGGACATTATATATACACACACATATATATATATATATTTATTAGGGCTGCAACTAACGATTATTTCCAGCAGGGAGGAGGGAAGCTACCAGGAGGCTGAGCGGGCGGTGAGAGCTGTCAAGATGCCAAGCGTGCCAGCTGTCATCATTACAGGAGGCAGAGCTCTCCTTACCACACCTCCAGGCTCCATCTCCTGTGTCAGGATGGGGAGCGGTGAGTGGAGGAGAGCGCTGTGATCTGTCACAGGAGGAGGAGCTCTCCTTCCCCACCACTCGCTCAGCCTCCTGTGACAGTCGATTAACGATGGAGAGCAATATACAAACACTCATCGATCATTTGTAAATAACTATACACAGTGTGCTTAACATGTCCCAGTTATGAATGAATGGGAAGTGATTTACATAATTTCCTGTTCATTCATGTGTGGGGACATAGTAACTCTACTGTACTACTACTATATCCACAACGTAAAACAGACAGGAACACTCAGTATAGAGCAGGGGTAGCAAAACTCCGGCCCTCCAGCTGTGGTGAAACTACAAATCCCATGATGCATCTCATCCGAAGTCAATGTGTGGCTGCGAGAATCTTGCAATGCCTCATGGGATTTGAAGTTCCACCAAAGCTGGAGGGCCGAAAGTCGCTACCCCTGGTATAGAGGCTTCCTGCTCATTCATAACAGGGGCTGCAGAAAAGAGATAGAGGACGCAATTTCTTTTTTTCTATTTTAAAAAGGGAAATATCTAAAACAGACCCCTGATATTTCCCTAGAGCCCCCGACAGTAAAGTTAAAAAAATCAAAATAAATCAAAATAAAATACTATAACAACTTTTAAAAAGGTTGGGGAAAACGTAATTTTTGGTTTCGGTCTGACAATTTTTTTTTTTCCAGTCTCACAATGAATATATATATATATATACATTACATATATATTACATATATGCATTTACACAATGTTTATTGCATCTTTTTTTCTTCCATATCAGTAGATTAGCTGCAAAATGAAAAATGTGGCTATTGACTACATAAGCAACAGTACCTGGAGTTTCTCCTTCAGTACTGTTCCAACTTACTCATAATAAGGCTAATCTCTCTAGTAACACCATTTGTTGTTCCTTCCTGGCTGTGCATACCTGATACAGCAAGACACGGAATACCCTCGGGCTTCATAAAACTTCCATCCCTATTACATTATAATAGTAATTTTCATCTATTTACACTGAAGCAGCCTTTAAACGCATTGCAATAGAGACAGTAAGCATGCAGCACACGTGTGTTAAATAAAAACGGCTGCACGAAGACAGCTAAAATGTCAGGAAATAGTGTCATTGCTGGTCATCTGCCAAGAATAATACAATGCATATGTGCTATAAGAGCAATTCATTCATTAGGTTTACCTACTGTCCCTTTTAAATTTAACTAGAACACAAACATGAGAACGAAACAGCCCATAAATCCTTACACTCATCAAACTGTATTCAAAGTTTTGGTGGTTAAGTAGCCAAAACAGGGTCCAATATCCTCAAGCTATTGAAGGGACACAATCATTGCTCGATAGTCATGGAAACATTGACAAAATAGTGAACTCCAAACTGCAAAGTGTTTATTATCACTTACGTAAAATTTTTTCTATTTAAATACCTGTGTGACCTGGTGCCAACCAATACCTTTTCTATACGCTTAAAATCCAAATCCATCCATTGAGCACTGTGAAGAATATGGTGAGTCCTGGTGTAGAATGACAGATAGCCCCCCTCCCCTTTCTGTTGCCTCTCACATAGAAACTGATGTAAAAAATAAATGGCAGTATTAAGCAGTTTTTACAACCACCAAATCAGATTCAAACCTGCCATGGACATCTGAATGTCACTGGTAATACAGGAAGTTGTACAGCAAAGGTTTTAGAATGTATACTCCGAATACCCTCCTACTGACTTGGATTTGGACTGAAAGGTCCTTGACTTCTATGTAAATTCAGTAAAGGGTTATATATTCTATCTAGACAGACATATTCAGATACCTATGATGACATATGTTCCATTGAAATGCAGTGCATTGTCTTTTAATAAATACATAAAAGAAATGTAAAATTACAGCTTGTCAGTTTTTAGTTGCGGTGGCTGCATTAGGTTCTTTTTTCAGGATTTTCCTTATATTGTCATCTGATGACAATGCTCATGCAGTGTACTGTTTTTATGAAGAAGCAGGACCGTCATCCTAGACTACTCTTTTGATTTGGACTACACATTCCCTTTCTCCTCATCTCTATAGTGGGGGGGGGGGGGGGAGGTTCTGTCATTCACAGATAGTCATGGAAAAGCTTGTAGCATTGTTTGAGATTTCAGTTAAGTTCACAGGAAGTTACAAGCACATTGGATATCTGATAGAAACAATAGCTATTTTGCTGTACTTGTAGAAAACTACCCTATAAGAAAGAAAAAGAATGCCGCCACCACATCCAAGGACTGGTAAGCTGCAATATATGGTTACTGTTCAAAGAAAAACAGCAGAAAATGGATAATCAGTTTTTGTTTCTGCTTGGCTGATTTTCTCCACCAGAAGAACATGTGATTGGGTTTAGCTATGAGTTAATGAAATATGTTAAAGAATAATAGTCAGACTTGCTCAAGCAGAAAGGCACTTCACAACTGCTCGCATCATTTTTTTTTTACAACAGTGGTATGCTGGTATGCATAAATACATGTCACAATAAACCTTGAAAAGGATGTTTTATAGCAATAGACCATTCAAATTCTACTCCTGCCTGCTAAAAATCAGAAAAATGAGGCTACAGTGGGCACACAATAGGCAAAACTGGATGGCTGAGGATTAGAGACATGCTACTTGGTCATCTCAGATGTGACATGCCATCAGAAGGGTCAAAATTTGATGTACGCAACATAAATCCACATATCCACACAGTTCAGGCTTACAGCAGTGCTATAATGTTGTCACTCTATGAAAGAAGTGCCAGTGGATAAGCCTTAGGCCCGGTTCACACCTGGGCGTTTTGTAGCGCGTTCCTACGCTCTGCAAAACGCTCAAACACCGAAATCCCATTATTTCCTATGGGTATGGTTCACACCTGGGAGTATTACGGGCCGTATGAACGCGCTATAAAACGCCCTACGCCCAAAGAAGTACAGGAGCTTTTTGGGGGCATATTTGCCGTGCGTATCCATTGGAATACAGCCAGATAGCCTTCGGAAACGCGCGTTTGTCGCACGGTTTTTTACCGTGAATCGCGGTAAAAACGTGCATCACGAAACTCGCGACAAACACGCATATTTGATATGCCTAGGTGTGAACCCAGCCTTACTGTTATTTTATTGAAAACTGGACATATTAGAAAAAGATGACACTTTTCGACATTAGAGGAACATGTGAAATGACACAGTTGGTTTAAAGTGTATGATTAAGTGTATTTTTTTTTACATTTTTAGCTAGACAGCAATACAAATCCACCCCCATGCTAAGGAGATTTACCCTCTAGATTTATCACAATGAAAAAGTGAGAGGGAATCCTTACATTGCCACTGGAACATGTTTCCCCTTTGGAATGTTAACCCCACCTTCTGTTCTGGTGACTACTGTCTAAAAGCCCTTCACTGTAGAGAGATTCCCTCTCTGTCCCTGCAGGGCCTATGGGACAGAAAGTGAATGTAGAGCTCCATAACATGACACAAATAGCATATAAATACATGGACAGGGGTTTTAACATTTTTCTACTTTAAGAAAAATAATGTGGCTTTACATACAGTTATAGCAGCTAATCTATAAAGAGTTTGCTCGGCTGGGTGAACGCCATTTACGTCATCACTGCCACTAGATATAGACTGAGAAATTCTTATGCTCCTTGGCTCCATCTAATAGTGCAGTGGGAATGGCATTCGTCCAGTTATACACTGGCCAATCCCTTTATAAAGCAGCCCATAAGTGTATGTTAAACAAATTAAAAAATATTGGCTTAAGAGTTTGCCCTGCGTACAGCAGGGCAAACGCTGTTCGCATCGCATTAGTGCTGCTAGATGAAACCAAGGAGCTTAGGAAATTCCTATATGCTGGGTGAACCCTTTATAAAGCAGCCTATATGTTTGGGTTCAGATACACTTTAATAGCAATTAAATATCACTTGCATGGCACAGCGAGTTTTGTTGACGGCTACATGGATGCACCAAATAGACTAGTATGTGTGTGTTAGAAAGAGAGAGAGTTTGTGTATGCAATTATCACTTATTCTCATTGTGGTTACTGTAACAGTTCTGCCATGGTAACATCCCATAGGTGGAAAAAGAAGACAAACGAATAAAGCTGACGTTTCTCACGAAAGGTATGTGTGACAATATTTTGTATGACAGGGTCATAATAAAACACATTTGCATACTTCCTTATGTGGAAAACAGTGGAATTTTCTCATTTGTTCTCGTGCAGTTCAGTGAGGTAAAATACACAATGTGAAGGCCTCGCTAGCAAA